CAAAGAGATCTTCGAACTAGAAGTATTCTAACATGTGAATAAAACAACCCCGGGGGTACAAAGTGACCCCAGGGCGCACGGATGGGAATATAGAAATACTGCCGTTTACGTGTCTGTGAGTTGATTGCATATCCCTTAGTGAAGGGTCTTCACTAATGAGCGGACATTCTGAAGTCTATTTGCATGTGTGTGTGTGCGTATATGTGTGTGTGTGTGTGTGTGTGTGTGTGTGTGTGTGTGTGTGTGTGTGTGTGTGTGTGGATGTGTGTGGATGTGTGTGTGTGTGTGTGTGTGTGTGTGTGTGTGTGTGTGTGTGTGTGTGTGTGTGTGTGTGGATGTGTGTGCATGTGTGTATGTGTGTGTATGTGCGAGCGTGCGTGTGTGTGCGTGTGTGTGTGTATGTGTGTGTGTGTGTGTGTGTGAGAGAGAGAGAGAGAGAGAGAGAGAGAGAGAGAGAAAAGTGTGTGTGTGTGTGTGTGTGTGTGTGTGTGTGTGTGTGTCGTGTGTGTGTGTGTGTGTGTGTGTGTGTGTGTGTGTGTGTGTGTGTGTCGTGTCATGTGTGTGGGGTGTCTTCCTGTCTGTCTACTTCCATACATATTTAGTTTATGCTAATTTATGATCTAGTAGTTTGGCCTCGTCTTTCAAGAACTGTAACGTGCCACCCAACGTCGTGAAAATCTCCTTGTTCCAATTATGAATGAAACGATGGTATTTACCACTGTTTCGCTCCTTTTAGCATAGACGTCACCAAAGACAATGTTGTAGCACATTTCAAACCACCACGTACAAACGAGAAACACAAATTTGCTTTTATTTTATCGAATGTATGCTTTTTAAACATTTCTTCAGATAAAGGAAGCAGAAGGGAAAATGAATACGAATAAGGCGAGGTCCTGCTTTTTAAAAAGGTAACCCAAAAACAGCTCTTCTCCCAGCGTTGTCGAATAAGCAGAGTGCGAGTCCGCAACGAGTTAATGTGGGTTAGAATACATCACGTCTTGCAGGTCGGTTCATGAGGTCAAAATTACGCATTCAGAGTATACATATGTGTGTACGTGTGTGTGCATGTGCGCCAGTGTACAATGTGTCTTCAGTATCATATTTCATCAATATAATTAATTTTTATAACACTTTGTTTCTGTTATTTTCAGCCCACTGACTTGTGGATAAAGAATTCATTTACAAATAGAAGACATGAAAAATTCTTTGTACCTTAACTTTGAAAGGTGAAAACTCTGTGACCACATGTGTGATTACTAGCAACAAGAACAACTACGACTGATAATAATTCGCGGAACACGCTGTATATTACCATGCAGCGAACCCTTGGCAACTCAACCGTTTCTGGACTGAACGTTTCTGATGCCCCATTCTCCCAAGGGCCTCGAATCACAGAGGCAAGCCTCACGACCTACGTAGACCCGTTTGTCTACCACCTCGTTGACACAGCAATTAACTGCTTTGCTGTTATAGCTCTGTCAGCTTTCGGCGTTTTCGGAAACATCGTCAACATCATCGTCTTTTACCACCAAGGCGTGAAGGATGACAGCATGAATGTTCTGCTGCTGTCTTTGTCTGCCAGTGACATGCTATTCTCACTAACTTTATTCGTCAGGTGAGAGTTGGTGTTTATCTCGTCTACCGTATACATGGCTCCTTTTTTAGCGTAAGTGCTTTTACCCCCCCCCCCCCCTCCCCAAATCGACACAATTTAGATCTTCAGGAGGCGGGGTGTTTATGTCGTTTACCGTACACTTGTTTCCTTTTTTTCACGTAGGTGTTTTTACTCTCGCCATCGACACAATTTAGATTTTTAGGAGGCGGGCTTCAACCCTACCCATCAGGGCCAATCCGGGCTGAGAGGGACGCATCGTCCCAGTAGAAAGATCGAGGTAGATGTTTTGATAAACTTTCTCCCCCACACAGGAATTCAACACAGCTCTTCTGCGTAGGACGTCGAAGCGCCTAACCCTATAAGAACAGGTTGTATAACCGCTATACCACAGACACTAGTCAAATGTCCCGAAGTCTCATTACATTCTTCTTATCTTGCACTGTTGTCGGTGTTTTTCCTTTGCATTTCAAATAAAATTGTGCACGCGAGGATTTTTTCCTTTCACTTAAAGATAACGAACCATTTATTGCATGGCTAGAGCTAGAGGGGGCCACTGGTAGATCCTACCTATTAATTTTACTCGCCCTCTGCCATTTTTCTTGATCGTCTGTATTATTCCTTTCCACTGAATGCCCATTTTCGGATCGGTGTGGTTTTCTTTGCGTAAACGAAAGCAATGTCCAGCTTGTCCTAACCTTCATGATTCCCTATCACACCATGCATTAACACCATTAAGATTAAAAGGAATGTCCAAGTGAAATCGATACCCCGGATTACAAAGTTCTATTTAACATTTTTGGCCGAAATAATAAAATTATGCTCTATCTGCTTTATTAAAATCGTACGATTGTTTTGAGTCGTTATCAAGATATTCAAAGAATTGCATTCGAAAAAGTTTGAAATATTGAGAACTCGAATGTATTTTTTAGAAATCAAATTTTTCAAAACCGGGTACTGAGCAAGAAGAACTTCGTAATAATGAGGCAGCAAAATATCATTTAGAAAATGTATGTCTACTTTTAAGAAGGTGGAGAGTTTTGAATGTCTAGAGCAGTGGTTCTTAACCTGGTGTGTGTGTGAGTGAGTGTGTGTGTGTGTGTGTGTGTGTGTGTGTGTGTGTGTGTGTGTGTGTGTGTGTGTGTGTGTGTGTGTGTGTGTGTGTTCTACGAGTGAGTGTGTGTGTGCGTTCTGTGCAGATGTTTGTGTAAGTGTGTACGGGTGTTTGTCATTTCTTGTACAGGTATGTTTCTCCTCAGACAGCAGTCAGGTAGCAATATGAAAAAACACGTTGTGGGCTAGTTGCTTTTCTGTTTTTTAATTTGGTATGTGTGTGTGGGCGTGCGGGGAGGGGGGATATTTGTGTGTGTGTGTGTGTGTGTGTGTGTGTGTGTGTGTGTGTGTGTGTGTGTTTGTTTGTTTGTGGTTGTTGTTGTTATTGTTGTTTTAAGTTGTTTTGATTTTTTTTTTTTATCAGCTGCTTGTTTTTTTCTTCTTCCAACAGAAGACTGCCGTGCCCAGTGTCCCACATCAGCCCGGCAATGGGCGTGACTGTAGAGACAATGTCCATGATGGTGTTGGCGGCAAACCGTATGATGCTGGCCACCAGCCTAAACCTGGTGGGCGTGGTGGCTGTAGAGAGAGCCGTGGCCGTGTTCTTCCCCTTCAAAGTCGGCCGAATCTTCACACCGGCTCGGACCAAGGTCCTTGTGGTCGCTATATACCTATACCAAGTTGTCACAACAGGACCTTTCTTTTATCTGTTCACTTTCGATTGGACGTTCGATCCGAGGTACAACGCCACTGTTGCTACTTTGGCGCTTACTAATTTCTATAAGGACAACTACGACCTCCTTAATTTCGTTGGATTGATCCTTATTAACAATTTGAATTGCACGTTAAACATGATTATTGTCCTAATTAGTGGAACAGCCATTTCGATCAAACTAGTACAAAGTCAAAAGTCTAGGCAAAAGCTCACGACAAAGGATTTAGGCTATGACGTCAAAGTGGTCAAGATGCTTCTCATTATTTGCAGTATCTGTTTCGTAGTTTTCCTTCCTTCCGGAGTCATCGATACTTATTCTTACTTCGTTCAAAATTTTGTGTTTTTGAACAAATTGTACGCACTTTTACAGTTCATTTGTGATTTCCTTTACGCTATAAATTCCTCTGTCAACTTTTTGATATACCTGAACATGTCAAGCAATTACGCAGCTGCTTTTGCCAGTATTAGAGCCAGCTTGTTTGCAAAAAGCACAGACGGAAATTTAAAGAAACACATAAAAACGGCAGACAGATGAAAAAAAAAGTCTACAGAGATTTTCGAGCTGAGCAAATAAATAGTAACAACATTTTCATGCAACTTGTTTTCTTTTAAGTATCACAGTACAAAGAAGAACAGACATGGAAGGAACAGCATGTATGTATAAACCGGTGTTTATGACCGACGCCTACTTTTGCCAACATTAAGTAGGCTAGAACTTTTGTACCGCTCCTTCTACATTTTATCCAAGCGCGGCTTTAAATAACAACTTTCACTAATTGGGTCATCCACACTGCACAGCCAAAAAGGTCCGCAAGCATTGGTTTAGTTTAGATCACAGATATTATTATCAGTGGGTGCATGTGAAAATATGAGCAGTTTGGTTACTAAACAGACTGAGTAATAGCTCGGAAAAGATTCAAATAAAACTGCTTCTGTACACCTAAAACATGAACAAAGTTTCAAAATCCTTTCAGACAGATTGAATTTTACTAAATTTGACGTTCAGTTTGAACTCCTAAAGTGTTTTAAGATCACTCTGAATGTTGCTGGAATGTATTAACAAAGTTAGAAATAATTGTTGAACTGGCGAAGTACAAAGATCAAGTTCGGTGAATAACTGGAGAGAAACCAGTAGTAAGACCAACAGAAACCGAGTTTAAACGCCCCATTCGACACACAATTGTGATTTAAGTTCAGGGCAAGATGTTCGGTTTGAGCTAACGGACAATGCTTCCAACAGCTCCGTTTCCCAAAATGTTAAAACCTGGAAACATATTTATTTGTAAAGTAGAGCCTGTTCGATCCTTAACTAGGATGCAGACAAAAACTCAAGCTGTTTAGACAAATATTGCTTCACAGGTGTGAGTAAGTAGTGCGGCGGTTTAAACGACATAGTAGGCAACACGTAACTAAACAAAGTAAGGCACATTGGAATAATGTTTCAACTTTCAAAGGATCTTGATTTCCGGCCAATTTGCTGAAAACCATTCTTTTTGCTTCCTTTTTCTCATAAGTATATACTGACACATACAGTATGAAAGAAAAGACACGTTAAGAGACAGAAAATCAGATATAATGGAACAAATGTAGAATATCAGATAAAGACAGAAAATGGGACAATATAAATACATGCAGATGGGGTAATGCTGGTTGTTCCTTTCATTTTGAATTTCTTGAAAGGAAACAGCCGATATGTACGGCTACATTATTAATATCCTTACCTTTACACAAGCTTGAAAAAAATGCAGAAGCGGCATTTTGGTCTTAAGTGATGAAAAAATAGCCTCTAGGCCTTTCAAAACGAATGGGTAAAAATTATGTTTTCTGACTGCCTCTTTTTTTCAAATTTAAAAAGCAGCAGGAATTGTAAAGGTCTACGCTTGAAAGGAATCAACGGTGCAAATTCTTGCTAGGGAATGAGGCGAGGTTGCAGGGAACGACTCTGAACGTCGTCTAACATGAATGCAACTGCTTTAAACGTTGTTTGAATTTGCAATGGGCGTTGTTGACCCGGATCTTGACAATGATTGTTCAAATGGTCTTTTCTTTATATACACTGTCCATATTTGTTTGATCAAGTCTAGTGTGAGGAGATGGGGAGTATTTATTGAGATCATTCTAAGCAAAAACACCCCATCTGGCCCGAGATAGCTGTACGCAAATTGACGAAATGATTTTATCTCTCCTGGGGTAGGCTGGCGACCAGGGGCGATAACTCCGGTAAATCTCAACAAAAAATCTTTTGTTTTCGACCACAGCAGCAACTGCACAATCCATTTAGCCATGCTGAGTATATTTGCAGCTAGTAGGAGATAAAAGCAGAACCAGAGCAGCAAAAACATCTTCTCTAAGAATAGATTGACGGATAAGACGCACTGCACTGTGTAGGTGTAGACATTCTGAAGCTGCCTGATCTTAAAGTCACACAGCACCACCCGAGGGAAGCTGGACCAATCCTCCCACTCGCCGTCGAGAAAGTACGAGGATATGGCATCGAAACCGAACGTCCAATAGTTGAGCTTGAGGAAGGAAGAAATGATGAAGAACTGACCGATCACGTTGATGATGTAGAGGAACTTTATGCACAAGTACAACCGAACCAGGAAACGGCCTGACCGCTTGCCGCCCGCTGACTTCATTGACCGGACTCGCCGTCTGAACGGTGATGCGTCAGACAGATCTGGTGCTTCCCTGAGCAAAAAAATACCCCAGCCCAAATCAAAATGCATATACATATATACACACATACAACATACATAATGTACATATACATATACATAATTATGCTTATTACACGTATTCATACATTATATATACTTATAGATCTATAATTATATATATAATATATAA